TCTTCTTCTTCTTCTTCTTCTTCTTCTTCTTCTTCTTCTTCTTCTTCTTCTTCTTCTTCTTCTTCTTCTTCTTCTTCTTCTTCTTCTTCTTCTTCTTCTTCTTCTTCTTCTTCTTCTTCTTCTTCTTCTTCTTCTTCTTCTTCTTCTTCTTATTATTATTATTATTATTATTATTATTATTATTATTATTATTATTATTTCCTTTCCCCTTGGTATTTACTGTCCCATATTTAAACTAATACAATTCTAACATTCAATATTTTTAGACAATCAATGTCCTAGTTTTTCCCTATTTTTAGTTTCCCATTAATATTTAAATTTAACGTTTAATATTTATAATTTCCAAGTTTTAAATAATCCCAATTCCCTTTATCACAATTCATCACAAGATCTAATGTTCAGGATACACGTCGTATCTATTTGAATTCTCACCATCTTACATCAACTAATTAATAATACAATATAACGATTATGCATTTTGTCTGAACATGGCCTGCTCTAGAGAGGATTCAAGGTATACTTGAATTGTTTAGCATTGTCTACATACAAAAATCCGTGTACATTCGTTTCACAAGACAATTAGCCTCTTACATTATCACAAGCAGTTCTTATATATTCATCCATAATTACACTAAATAGCCAAGGGATCATAATCAAATTCATCTATAATAAAGATTCTGCTATAAAACGTGCACAGTGCTTGATAAAAGGCACTTGCTGTATGTTTTAGAGTTTCAGAATGGAGGGAGAGGAAACCCTGTTTTCAAGTGTCCATACAAATTAAGATTAGTAATCAAGAATCAGATTTAGAGAAATGCTATATTGAGCGAGTGCACATGTATGTACTCAACATAAAACATTATCACCCATGGCAACTTCAGATGGCCTCAACCTATACTGTTAAATGCATGTATATTACCCCATTTTCAGTATGTATGTGTGTGTGTGTGTGTATGTATACAAACATTAATACACATACACACACCTATCTAGGAAACTTTTTTTTAATAAAAGACAAATTATTGTTTTTGGCAAATAATTCCCTTGTAGTTTTGTCTTTATTATAATACAAAAGTAGTCCACAGTTCTTTGCTGTGTCTGTACCTTAAAAATCAAGAAAAACTACTTTCAATTAACTGGATTGAATTAAAAGGAGAAATAGGGTATTTTTATGTAATTAGTACAAAAACTGACTGAAATATTTGTTGCAAACAAGATATGAAGACCCACATCTCAGGTAGACCTCAAGTAACAACTAGATTCCTGGTTGTAAGTTATTACAGTCATAAGTCGAGGCTGTTTTTATGACATTTTTGCAGAGCGCATTAAGCAAATCAGTGCGGTCGTTAATTCCTTTCTTCTAGGGTCAACATTAATTTTAGCTCTCAAGCTGGCAATGAATTTATTTTAGTCTATTGTATGCTGGAAAGTCCATAGTTCTTTGGGGAAACTGAAGGATGTTTCACTCTTTGTGGTCTGTTATAAAGTAAATAAAATTTATAGTAAACTGAACATTGGTTATAGCCCAGTGATGGCGAACATTTTAGAGACCAAGTGCCCAAAAACTGGCCCCGGCCCCGCTCCATCCCCTGCCCTGCCCCCGCTCTGCCCCCCATCACCCGTCCTGCCTGCCCACAGGACCACTCACCACCTCCAGGGCCCGCAGATCGCCCAGGCAGCCCAGCAACGCTATGGTGGCCACACCCTCTGCCCGCGCCCTGCAGCATCAACTGTATGATGGGGTGTGAGGGCAGAGTCTTGTCTACGCTGTCTGGCTGCCATGTCCTTGGCTGCGCTGCTCCATGTGGGTCACGCTCAGGGGCGACTCTCCTTCAGGGAGGCTGCTGGAGAGGAGGGGGTCGCAGGGGAGGCAAGGCTGGGGCAACGGCACGTGTGCCCACAGAGAGGGCTCCGAGTGCCGCCTCTGGCACCCGTGCCATAGGTTCGCCACCACTGTTGTAATCTATTTCTACTAATTGAAACATCAACTTAATTGTTTTTGCTTTAAGCCTTATATCATTTCTAGAAAATGCACCAATCAGATATAATATCTGGTTACCACAGCTGCAACTGAATTTCAGCATTAAAAAGAAAGCATTTGAAATAAAGCTTTATTTTTTAAAATATTTATAAAAATAAATAGTAATTATATAACCTCTATAATATTTACTCCCCATTAACCACCATAAAATCCTCCACATAATTAGGCGGGTTATAAATGTTTTGTATAAAATAACCAAAATGAATGTACAGACTAAGGACCCCTAGCTAATTGGAACTCAGACTGAATTAAGTGTTTATAGGAATGCTTTTTTAATTTCCGAATAAAATTAAAGCTGTTTCATCCACTGTACAGTTAAAATATAGATCAAATATAAATGCAATATGCTCTATATCTCATGCGCTTGAGCTACGCCATACTGGCCAGCAACCCAAATGAAGCCAAAGTTCATATTTTGCCACTCAAAACACTTCTCTAAAGAAAAAGAAGTGCATAGCTTTTATGCCCCTCTTCCCTTCACAGCACGTTAATTCCAGCTCTTGAATTGTACAAGACAAACAGTGACTTATTTTAGGAGAACAAATGGAAGAAAAACGAAAAACAGGATACTTGACAGCAGCAAGGAAACCATGGCAACTCTACTAGAGACTACTGGAGGTGCTTACTTTATTTTGGCCACCACCGTGATCAGCCAGCTGAGCCCTCAGCCTGGTGATTTCTACCTCCAACAAACTGATTACTTCCTCGTAGTCCAGTTCCATTCCGCGAGCTTGCTTTTGGGCAGCTTCTGCGAGGTGGATTCTGCTTCGTAAGGTTCTCGCCTCTTCCACAGATGCCTTGGCTTCCTACAGGGAATCAAGTTCTATTTTTAAAATGTACCATTCGTGCTAACTCGATACTTTCATTTTGCTTTGACTGTGTAAAGTTACTTTAAATGCATCTTTTCTCCTTTCGAAACAGCTCAAAAAATAAAATAAAAATAACAGACCCAAAGAGCTGCAAATACATGTACTGCTGCCGAAAGAGTTGCTCCAAGAAAAAAGAATAAAAACGTTCAAGAATTCCCAAAGCCAACTCCCTCTCCCATCGTTTCAGCTTGCCCTTCTGATAGGGTGGACACTCTCTATTCAACAGTGCCTTCTTTGTTGTGGTCCTCCCTGTGGACACAACCTTTCCTGGACATTCAGGTGGGCCTTTTTATTTAAAGGCATGGAAGACTTGATTTCTCCCCTGAGCGTTGGGCCAAGTTATTTGGTGAGGCTATCTTGGTGCTGTGATTTTATGTGTTTTGTTTTTATATATATTTTATTAGTTTTTTTTAAATCATAACAATCTTTAGTATTTACTAAGCAACACGTCTGGGTTTACATATTTAACATCAATAGTAATAGTTTCCATTCCTATCCTTTATTCTGTTTTTCTAACCATTTATAAAAATTTTCCCATGTTTGGAAAATGAGTCTTGTTTCCCTTTCATTTTCATTGTGAGCCTATCCATTTCTGCACGGTCCAAGATTTTCTTAATTATATCTTCTTCAGATGGTATTTGTTCGTTTTTCCAATATTGAGCAAATGTAATTTTCGCTGCTGTTGATACATATAATATTAAGTATACACATTTTTATCATATTTTTTTGAGATTATATCTAAACAAAACAGTTCTGGTTTATAGTCTATATGTGCTTCTATCATCTTCTCTAGCTACCTATGTATTTTTGACCAAAAGTTTTTGTTTTAGTGCATGTCCACCAAAGATGGTAATACGTGCCTGGATTTTGTCTACGTTTCCAATAATTGCTAGATATATTTTTAAACATTTTTGCTAGTCTTGCAGGTGGTAAATGCCATCTATAGAACATTTTATATAGATTTTCTTTATAAGCAGCTACCCTTGTTATTTTATAGTTTCTTTCCCATAAGTTTTGCCATTTTTTTTGCCCAAGTTATCACTGTTTCTTTAACTTGTTCATCTTCCATCTTTAAATTTAACAGAAAATTGTACAATTTCTTAATCAATTTGTCATCTGATGACAATAGTATATGGTCAAACGCTATCTGATCTTTGTAAAAAACATATATTTTTGCATTTTTCTCATATCTCATTTGCATTTGCAAATGTGGCCCCCATGAAAGCTCTATGCCCTATTCTTCCAATTGTTTAGTTTGTAGTTTCCCATCAATATTCAAAATATCTTTATAAGTCACAAGTTTCTCATAGTTAATTAAATTTGGGTGAACAAACGCCTCCATTGTCGAGATCCATCCTGGTATTTTCATGTAAATGCTCTATTTTATCTTTTCCCATGTCAAAAGCAATTTCTTATATAGTGGTTTTGAAAGTGTTTATGGATTTTGTTCTTCCCATATGCGTGCCATCCAAGTTGTAGGTCATGCCCTTTTAGGTATAATAGTCTTGTTTCTAAGGATTATCCATTCTTTTAACCATGTTAGTGCAGCTGCTTGATAGTACAAAACCCAACCTGGTAGCCCAAAACCTCCATTTTCTTTCACTTCTTGTAACATTTTCAATCTAATTCTGGCTTTTTTCCCTTGCGAAATAAATTTCAGTATCGATGCATTTAATTCATCAAAAAAATTTCACTGGCGCAGTACTAGCATCCCCGTTCGCGCATGTGGCATGCCCTGGCCCCATGTGCATGCGTGAATGGCGGTACATGCCCCACAGCGGCTAGTGGCCTGTTCACGCATGTGCAAATGGGCCACAAACCACCTGGGCTAGCGGCACATGAGCAAATGGACTGCGGACACCCGCCCCACGCTAGCATCTCTGCCTGCGCGCATGCGCAAATGGGGCCGCATGCGCTAGTGCAAGTGGGGAGTGCATGCCCAAGCGTGCATGCATTGGCCAACCGTTTTGCGGCCTGCTGGCCAAGAACCCGCAACCCATCCTGGGCCACGGACCATAGGTTGGGGACCCCTGTGCTATGGGATGTTTTCCAAAAATGTCGCAAATCGTAGTAATGTGACTGTGGCATGCTGCAAATGGAGGACAGTGGCCAAGCACCCAAATGCAGTCATGTGGCCATGTGGGTGAGTGCAGAGTCAGACATCAGACATCCACGTTATAGGTAACTTTTCTGGGATTTGTTGTAACTTTGAATGGTCACTAAGCGACCTGCTGTTAGTTGAGGACTATCTGTATTATAAACTATGTAATCAAGATATGAAATATGGAAAACGGATATCTCAGAAACAAGGAATATCTCTCAGTGTGGGGGAAAAAAACAGAGCGAATTGCTTAATTTAATTTTACAGATACTCTACCCACTTGTTTGGTAATCCGCAACTCTTCAGCTAGTTGTTTTCTCACACGTTCTGACTTTGCCAATTCTTCCTAAAACATATATGGAGAAAAGATAAGCAGTAAATTTAGAGATTTTTCCCACCCTCTCCCATCATTCAATGACATTTTGATATAAGAAAATCTGGATGGTTAAAGCAACTCCCAAAAAATGATTTCAGCTTCCTATAAAACAGACCAAAGCTTCTGAGAATCTGAAACCCCCTTTTCAAAGCACTGCTCTATCTTTCTCTTCCTGTGACAATGGGTGTTCCCATCTGCCTCCCAATCCCATCAGTCCTATCTTCCCAAATCTCTAGAAACCCCTCCTATCCAATATCACATACTATCCAGTCCTAATCATCCCACCATCCCAGGGGGCTGCATCTGATTAATACTCATAATCTCCCTGAGCCTGCCCACCATAAACCAAACTCAAAAAAATGATTATCAACTTATATCTTTCAGAACCTGTTTCTTTCATAAGTGCCACATAAGTGGCAACCACCTAAACTACTATCAAGGAAATGATGCACATGTTCCTCTTTTCCTTACTTGGAGAGGAACCAGTCATTTTTTCCTTCCACTCCACCCAATCCAACTTTATTAACAGTATTGTTCCACCAGTGAAAAGGTGATTGCTTCTAATTGCTAAAAAAAAGAAAAAAAAAAGAAGAAGGCTGCAACTCAGTATCCCTCTTATTTGGGATGAGATAGTGGTGACAAAATTAACATTCTGAACATATCTAAGGGAAATTTCCTGTTGTATTGCTTCATAGCTAACAAGAGTTATTTTCTTAGAAATATAAAGATTCAAATTAAGCTCACATTTTCAATTCCCCCCCCCCCACACTCATTCCACTGAGATATTTCTAATTCTGCTTCCTCACAACATGTGCATACGTGTCACACAAAACACAAATGCACAGAAGGAGCACTTTGGCTCCTTTTGTTTTACAAGGACAACCATGGCTACATTATAGGGAGTGTCAAGGTCTCCTGACTGCTAATCAAAATCAGTTGTTTTCTTTGGAGGTTTTACTGAAGCAATCAAGTCAAGAGTAACCTGTATCAGTCAGAAGAACAGATCAGAAACGCCTCAGCCTTTTAATGGCAGAAAGTCATTCATCAGATTGGTTAGTTTGTTCTTTTTCACAGTGTTAGGGATCAGCCATTACTGATCCCTAACAGGTGGTCCTCGACTTACAACAGTTCATTTAGTGACTGTTTGAAGTTACAACAGCACTGAAAAAAGTGACTTGTGACCATTTTTCACACTTACAACCGTTGCGGCATTCTCCATGGTCACGTGATCAAAATTCAGCCACTTGGCAACTGACTCATATTTATGACGGCTGCAGTGTCCCAGGGTCATCTGATCACCTTTTGTAACCCTTCTGACAAGCAAAGTCAATGGGGAAGCCAGATTTACTTAACAACCAGGTTACTAGCCTAACCACTGCAGTGATTCACTTACCAACTGTGGCAAGAAGGGTTGTAAAATGGGGCAAAACACACTTAACAACTGTCTCGCTTAGCAACAGAAACCTTGGGCTCAGCTGTGATCGTAAGTCGAGGACTACCTGTATGTACAATCTCTCCCCTTCATTCTGGAAATGTACCCTGCAGCTGTTTGTACTTATTTGAAAATGATGGATGCGCAATTGTTCAATGAAACAAATAGCAAATATGGTTAGCTTGCAATGCTAAATATGAAGGAAGATATTTGGGTTCTGTAAAAAAAACCCAACAGAACAGGCTTGTTATTTTTATTGACATTCCCTTCCTAATGGCATCTGAAAGCAGTAAACTGACAGTTCAACATCACTCCGTGCCACATCAAACACGAAGACTGGAGGCAAGAAAGAAGGAAAAAAAAATTTCTTGAAGCATCTTAATGAATGAAACCTTGTGGGAAAGGCATGACAATGTTATATGTGTGTGTATGTGTATACACATGTATATATGTATGTATATATATATGTGTGTGTGTATATATATGTATATGTATGTATATGTATATATGAGAGAAAAATGCTTAATTTGCCTTAAAATGGTGGGTTAAAAAAAGAAATAAAAATGCTGACAAAAGAGGAAAAAGGAGCAAATGTCCCCCAAAATATTGTTGAAGGAAGACAGTAATAGGTCAAATTTTAGCTGGAAAGAGGAAACCTGTAATTGGATCGCCATTCTTGCGATGGAAACATCTGTCAGGGTGCAAGTAAATGGGGAATCGGGCTCTCCTCAAAAGAAATGAAACGCTTCAAATTTTCACTGAATAATTTGTTTTAAAAACTGGGGAACTGCAAGTGCAAGTCAGATACCCCACCACATACCTACAGATGGTGATTCCCTTCTGTAACCAATGAACTAAGGTGACTGAATTTCTTCCTATTGGGAGATGGACTTTAGGGCTGTGCGTTCGCAGACACATATTCTTCCTCTGCTCCAAACTAGCTCAGAACGGTGGTTTAAGCAGATCCAGGCAGCTTTTAAAGGAGAATATTTGTGGCTCAGGGTTGAAATGAGGGGGTCCATGGTGCTCTTTGAATTTGTCTTCTTGCAGACATTTCATTACCCAAACTGGGGAACAACCATCAGTGCTAGTCAAACTAGGTAACCTCATCAGTGCTAGTGACTTGGTCGCTGCCTTGGTTACAAGAAAGCAACCAAGCTCAGAGATCACCAAGGACACACAGACACACACACACACTCCCCGCTCTTGCAGACTAGCTGTCTGGGTTAGCAAAGCAAACCACAAAACAGCCCCACACTAGAAGGTAGCCTGTGAGAATACCCCTTACTATTTCCTCTTGCCCTTTCCCCAGCATGGCGCCACTTGCTACTTTTTCTGTGTATGGTTGAGTATATTCTTAAACAAGCTTTGTTTATCTACATGGGTCCCCAAAGCATTTGTGGAAATAATTATAATGTTAGGCATCACCAAACCTATGCTTTGCAGCTGTGTTGGATTAATTCTTATCACGGGCAGCCAACTACTGATGAGAGTTGCTGTCCACACTGGGAAAACCTGATCTAAGAGTCCCTGGTGAAAAAAACTCTCAATTTCCCTTCTTTACAGAATCAATCTCAAGGGACCTCCCTTGTGCTCCCTTCGCTGCTTTCTGACTTCTATTTACTTTCATCACATTAGATTCAGTTGGTTAAACAACTCCTCTTAATTCTACTCAATCAAAGCTTTACATAAATAAGTTAGTTCAGCTAGGCTCACAGTTAAAAATGATCAAAATTAAAGCAGTGCATTTACAAATTAAAGCGTGCACAGGGTCCAACAATACGTCACTGGAATAGGTAGCAATAGCAATTACATGTTGCCAGCATTAAAGACATATTGTGAAAGTCTGCAGAGAATTGTCCTGGGGACATTATCCAAGGACGTAATCAAACAAATGATTATTGTAATTACTTAACAAATTAACTCTTGGTGTAGAGAATCACATAGGAACAATGATTATTTCATGAAGTTGGTAGAGAACTAATGAAACAAAAATTATGACCCCAGAAACCGTCTGCCAGTACAGCATTTTAAATCTTACACTAAGTTACAGTTTAAAAAGGTTTAAAGCCCGGTACGTGTTTAAGACTAGAAATCTATGCTTCTTATTATGAAGCATCAATCAAATCTTTATTATGGTCATAGACCAGCATAAGAAAGGTAGGGTACAGTCACTAAAAAAGCGCAGAAGATAAAAATAAATAAAAAATCTAAAAAGATTATGAAAAACTATAAGATACAATACATACATGAATGAAAGACTAAAAGTATTGTATATTAAAAAGGGAGAAACTTAAAAGAAGGATAGCGGCATTAGATGGGTATGGGGGAGCATAGAAGGTTGGTATATGGTACATCCATCAAATTACAAGGCATTCTAATATGGTGAATTAAATTTCATTAAATCTAGTTTATAGCACAGGTCATCACCTGATAAATTTTGTTGCTGCACAGAACCTAGCAACACTACATGTTATATCAGGATTTCTTAAGAAGCACATCTTTATATGATTCATATTTTTTGTTTTTGTTTTTTGTTTTGTCTTCTGAATGAAAGTTAAATGAGGATGTCTATGTTGCAAGCTATCTTGAGTCAGTCTATTGAACAGGCAATCATTTAGGAAGTTGAGAGCCCTTGAGAACAATAGCAACCACAATGGAAGTTGTTGCGATATCAGGTTCTTTAACCAATTAAGCAAGTCAACCCACACAATCAAATAAAACAAAAGGGTACAGAGTTCCACTTGGCTGACCTTGTCTGGGCCACGAAGCTAAGTCAAGTTGGGTCTGGTTGGTAGTTGGAAGATAAACCACCAGGGAATTCTTACAGACTAGGTTGGGAACTCGAAAAAAATATCCCAGAAGGCAATAGCTGAAAAAACTGCACAAATGTACCCATGTAGTCTCCAAGGATTGTGTTTAACTTGCAAGCCACTTTACCTCTTCCTAATTAACAGGAAAGATATTTTAAAAATAAGTTGTGTTTTCATTCAACTCCCATGCCCCTCTAAAGGTTTCAGGGCAACATACCAAAAATACAATGGATCAATGGGAATGGAATGGATTAAAAATATTAATATATAAATTGTATGGCTATGAAAGTTGGACCATAAGAAAGGCTGAGCGCAAAAGAATTGAGGCCTTTGAACTATGGTGCTGGAGAAGACTTCTGCGAGTCCCTTGGATTGCAAGGCGTTCAAACTGGTCAGTCTTAGAAGAGATCAACCCAAACTGTTCTTTAGAAGGCCAGATCCTGAAGTTGAAACTCAAGTACTTTGGCCACCTAATGAGAAGGAAGGACTCACTGGAGAAGAGCCTAATGCTGGGAAAAATTGCGGGCAATAGAAGAAGGGGACGACAGAGAATGAAGTGACTGGAGTCACTGAAGCAGTAGGCGTGAGCTTAAATGGACTCCAGAAGATGGTAGAGGACAGGAAGACCTGGAGGAACGTTGTCCATGAGGTTGCGATGGGTCGGACACGACTTCGCAACTAACAACAACAACAACAAATATATAAATTATAAAGCAACCAGAAATAATTACTGGTAAACAATAACTGGGACAGGATTCTATGTATTTACAAAGACTGTCCAAATCCAGATGATTCAAGCAGTGTACCACATCAAAAGAAAAATTCCAAAAGAACAAAGTGCGTCTCCCGAAAAGAACATTAAAGAGATATATGAAATCCTAACATCTTAAAAGGGGTTTGTCATCCACCCTAACCCAAAGCTTGGGGAAATAGATTTTTAGAGATTTTTTTTAACGATAGGTGGGGTTGGGGCCATATGAGAATCTGGAAGGATGAAGGCAGCAAGAGAGAAAAATTCCATTTCCAGGGTGTCCTCAGGTGACATTGTGTGATTGAAGGAACCTGAAGCATCATACAGGGAGGGTAGAAAGTATCAGAGCTAGGCATTCCCACAGATAGCCAGGCCCTGGGCCACAAAGGATTATGGTTTGTAAGCAGCCCTTGAATTGTACTCGGAAGCTAACTGGCAACCAGTACAACTCATGGAGCAGGTGTTACATAGGTATATCATGGCATTTTATAGAAGAACAAATCACTGCTGCACATTTTCTTCTCCCTGTCCAAAATGGCATTGAGACACTTATACTACCTTTCTAGTATAGCAAGAACACAATTAAACTGCATCGTATCTAGAAATTTTTTACAGTACAGTATAAAGAAAGCAAATAATACTAATTTTATTTAATCATTCTACATTTAGTTCACCTTTTTACTAAGTGGCAAGTACTGCAATGTATTTAAAATAAACAAAGATCAGTGCAGATGTTTAAATTTGATCAAAACAAAATGTCACCTTCAGCTGACATATTTCTTTCAAGGCTTCATTTTTCTCTTTCCTAAGTTGTTCCATTTCACGTCTTTCCAAATGATCGCAAGATACAAGCTGTATGCATTAGAAAAAAACCAGAAGTAGAAGTTGAGGGAATATATGGATACAAATAACAGAAAAATAACAACATGTCTGTTATTTAACCTAATACTTTAAGCGTTCTAATTCAGTCCACTGAACAAAAACTCCTTTCTACTATATAAATAAAGTTACAAAAAAACTACAGGTACAACGACAGAGGGTGGGTGGAGAACTATTTCATTTTTAGATTTTGAAATACTGGATAATGTACCGTACCTGTAGTCCTTGACTTACAACTGGTTGTTTAACAAATATTCAAAGTTATGATGGATTTAAAAAAAGCAACTTATGCCTGGCTTTGAAGTTAAAATTACCCCCCCCCCCGTAGTCACATGACTGAGATTTGTGACTTTTTTGCCGTTTTCTGGATATGCTGGATTTGTTTAAAGACCACGTGATTCACTTAGCAACATGGTGATTTGTTTAGGACTGTCATAAAAATGGCTGTAAAAATCAGGTCCAGTCACAAAGATTTACAACAGAAATTCTGGGCTCCATTGTGGTCATAAGTTGAGGACTACCTCAAGTAGTAGTTTATCTGGCAATTCTATTTACATTAGTGAAAACAAGCTTGATTTATTTACTACAGATAAATAAATATGCACACAAATGGTCTAGCTAAATTCTCCCAAGCTATAATTAAAATGGCAACAAGACAAATAACTCATGAAAGACAGCAGTAGAAAAGCGAGTGAAATTATAATCAAATGGTTAGCTTTCAAAAATTGCTGGGACCTTTAAAGAAAAAGTTTTTAATTTGCCCATGGGCAGCCAGCCACATCGAAGATGCTGTAACTCCAGGGCATCAGAAGCCTGCTGCTATTAGTGCCTAATTTGTCATCCACAATTATTTTATATAAACTTTCTCTAACTACTGCCCTCAAGTGAAGTTGGGAATCTAATTCTACATCTGGGATGGTGCTGAGTGAGGGAAGACTATTTTAACTAAGTGTACATTGTGCACAATAATTAGCTACAATTTGTGGACAACATGGTTGTATAACAGCACTGAAAGTAGTTTTCACCTTGTTATGAGAGCGTCTAGATATTCTATCCTTTCTAGTCATCCTTTTGAAAGACCATAGTGGGCTGGAAGTCTTTGGGGAATTTAAAATCAAAATTTCATCACATTTTATTTGGAGGTAAGAATTATATTACTTACCTGTGAATCTAGTAATTTAGCAATTTCATGTATAGGGCTGTGACCAGTCTCATCCAGCTGCTGAGAAAACAAATTTCTTGCCACCTGAACAAAATCTAACATATAATTTAAGTCAGAACAATAGTGTCAATCACAGAAAAGTCAATATATTTTTCATTAAACAACCCAGTTAGCATTTCAGAACTTCGGTTTCGGCTCCAAACTAAAATCTTGCCAAGAAAACTGCAGGGACTTTTCTGTACGGTCACCAAGAGTCAAGACTGACTCAAAGAGACAAAAGAGAGCAAACGCTAAAGCCTGGATACTTCCCCCTTCTCCCCCTTATGCATTCAGAATCATTTAGGTAAACTAGCATGAAGTAAAAATTGAAAGCCGTGGGCTTGTGATTGCCTTCCAAGCTAAAATTGTGTGCAGCAGCACAACCTTGGTTTGTTTTTCATATTTGAAAAGCAAACATCACACCATTGCTGTCATATAGACCGAATAGAAGGATAAATTACAGTTTTTTATTAAAGAAGAAGTAACGGATTGTTAGTTCCAACTGATCTGATGGTTGAAGCAAATCTTTCAGAGGAAGTGTAGATGCCAATCTAAGTGAATGTGCGTGCACACATATGCAGCTAAGCTTTCTGGGCAACTGTGTTAACCTGGGGAAAAATGACTATTTCAATGATTCAAAGAGAAATAGCTTGCGTGGGCTCCTGTGTGTTGAGTAGCTCTTCCAAATGTTGCTATTGTGTTAATGCAGTGCATAAATTTAACCACCAACAGCCATGGGAATTCTATCACCTTAGCTCTGAATGTGGGATGGACCCATGCAATCTTATGTCTCATAATTCTAATTAATTAATATTTAATTAAAATGCAATTTGCACTGTGTTTTTGACGTAAAACATTGCATTAGGCAACAAAAGCCAAGAAAAATGATAAGCTCTGAGGAGAACTCATTTCCTGCTTCATGGTGAAGATGGGCAGGACAAAGAAAATGAGCTATGGGATGCATTTGGTGAAGACACGATTCTGAAGAGCCCAGGATCAGGCCTTAAATTTTCATTCATTATCCTAAAATATAATACCTGCAATCAGGTCTGTCTAAATTTTGTTCTCTTAATGGTTACCCCATATATCTATGGAAAGCTCACAACAAAAATACGAGGACAGTAAGATCTCCTTAACCAACTTTATTCCTCATCTGCAAATTTGACTCGCTAACCCTCCTGCTCCTTTTAATTTATTCTGCACATTTGTTCTTTTTTCTTAAATATGTTGGAATAAGGTTGTCTAACAAGTGTTTTAATTTGTAATTAAGAAAGTGCTGGGTAACCAATGCCTTTAAAATGGGAATGCAAATCTTAACATTATACACATTATACATAGGGGACTTCATGGAGCGCTTGACCAAATATCCAATCAACCCTGAAGCACACCTAGTGATTTCTGTCCGGAAGAATTGTATGTAGAATTTTGAAATCTCCCTTATAGTTTCCTAAAAATCCCTTCACTTAATTACCTCCAAAACAGACTGTTCCTTCAGAATCCCTTGGTAGCTGTTGCCTTAGGATTTCTTGCTCTTCTTCTGTAGGCTGAATCCCAAGATACTTCAAAGCCTGGTCAAGAAAAACAAATGGAAGAAAAAACCTGAAAGTAAGGAGGCTTCGGGTTTTCTAATCAAAAAGGTGCCTTAAGACTTTGCTTTATAGCTCTGGGTTAGAAACGAAACCTGTGTGATAGCTCTCCCTTTCACAAACAGAAAGTGAACTTTTTTATGTGAAGAAACTGTTTTTACTGTGTAATGTTGATACTATCCGCAAATTTTAAAAAAAAGTATTCAGCTTTCAGATTCAATCAAACCCAGGTTGTTCTCTAATCTTATTATTTTCAACAGGCTCTGGCTGAAATTGATGAAAAATTCAGAATAGTGATGCTGAGAAGATCATACTCTTCACTGGCCTAAGCACATGAATAAGACCTATTTGCAAAGAATGTATAAAAGCCATTTACTAACTGCCTTCCCAGATATAAACATAGATTCAGGAGGGACATTTCAGAAAAGCAGCTGATGCAATTTGAGACAACTCTTCAACAACATTTCTACTTCTAAAATAAACAAAGGACAAAAGGGAGAATAAATCCTAAAAACACATTTTCACTGAATAGATACCATATGCCAAACAATACGTCTTAAAGTAAACTGATATTGCAAAACCCAAGTTTGTTTTTCTTCTGTCAGTATTATTAAAAGGTGAAAAGGAAAATATAATAAAAGCAAATAAATTCCTCTTGGTCAACAATTTTGAAAAATAACGGCGAAGTATAATGAATAATGAAAGTATATTGATAAAAGTATTTAAGGGGGGGGGAAGTTATGCTACTGAGAACCAAGCATTTTTCTCTCAAATTGTAGATATTTCAAAGAAGCAAGCATAAGGAATAATGGGAATATTTCAAATATCAAGAGGAAATTTCACTAAATATAGGTAGTGCCAAACCAAAGAGGCTAAAATATTCCAATAGTCAGGGATAATGATTTATGCTACAGATAAATGCAGTACACCTATGCATCATTTCAAATCATACAGAAATGATTCTGCAATCTTTTGATTATTTTGGAGGAGTATTATTCATACCTGATGTACTGAAAGTATTTTTGGCTAGAGTCCAGGCACAACTTCTGTTCAGGGCCCAATTGAGGCCATATAGCTTCTTCACTCCTTTGGAGAGGGTACAGTTTAAATTTTTAAGGAACATATTTTACGTTCCACAGGGTGTTCCTAATGTGGATTTATACCTAGAGCTGAACATGACTAAAACTGAGGCACATATTTGGATATGCTTCTACTGATACTGGTTAAACTACTTTCCCATCCCATGAGTAGGAGGGATTAAGAGCACATGAAGCGTTAGTACCACTTTATGATGCCTTGGTAAGACCACATTTGGAATATTGCATTCATGATATAAAAAAGATGTTGAGACTCTAGAATAGGCATGTCAAATTCACGACGTCACATGACGTCGCGTGATGTATCGGGACTTTTCCCCCATTGACGGCAATGGGGTGGGCACAGTTTCGGCGTGACGCATCCAGCCCTTGGGCCGGCAGTTTTACATGCCTGCTCTAGAAAGAGCACAGAGAGGAGCAACAAAGATGATTAGAGGACTGGAGACTAAACATGTGAAGAATAGTTGCAGGATTTAGGCATAGCTAATCTAGAGAAAAGAAGGACTAGAGGTGACATGAAAGCTGTATTCCAGTATTCGAGAGGTTGCCACAAAGAAGAAGGGGTCAACTTATTTTCCAAGGCAACAGAAGGCAAGACAAGAAACAATGGATAGAAACTAATCAAACAGAGAACCAACCTAGAACTAAGGAGAAATTTCCTATTAGTGAGAACAATTAATCAGTGGAACAATTTGCCTCCAGAAGTGGTGGATGCTCCAACACTAGAGGTTTTTAAGAAGAGACAGGACAGCTATTTGTCTGAAATGGTATAAGATCTCCTACTCGAGCAGGGGGTTGGACTAGAAGACCTCCAAGGTCCCTTCCCACTGTTATTCTGAGGAGGATTCCTTTCTCCTTCAGTGTGCAAATAAGCTTGGCCTCCTGGTTTTACTTTATTTTTGTCTCATCCTAGAATAGGATAAATGAGAAATTTAAGGATGTGGTTTCTCACCTGAAATAGTTTTAATGATGAGATGTGAGCACATACAGCCATTAAACAGTGTGCCATAGACCTGGAAAGCCAATTAGATCTAGTTGTCCTACTTAAAGATATGCTCCTGGGCAGTCATTCCTCTTTTTTCAAAGTGACCAAGTATTTAAGCTTAAGCTTTAATATTTAATATTTAAGCTAAACAACATTTCTCAAAGTCAGAAGAGATTTAATGCCCTTCCAAAGTTGAGATATAATTTCAGGATATTTTATTTGAACAAAGACTCTTCCTCTGTGAAGAGGTATTGAAACATTGTCATGTTTTGTTACATTGCCTTTATTAGAAAGAAGCCAAATTATAGGTTATAAATTTTCACCAAGTCCGATTTTGAGACTAAATGGATTCATTCTACTCACAATCAACACTGCCAACATAATTTCATTCTTCTCAATGTGGCTATTTTTTTGTTTACTAGTTGTAAAATAATTTGTCCTTTGACATCAGTTTTATAATTATTTAGTTTTGTGAGCTTTATTTTCCATTTCTTCTTTCACAAATGGATCAGTGATCATAACTGATTCATTCATTCATTCACTCGATTTACGCAGTATGGGATCTCCCACTGACTAGATTTCACTTGATTCTAGACAAAAAGGAAGCATTGGTCAATTATATTAAAGTATCAGGAATCTGAAGGGTGAGGAGAACAAATGGAACCATTGGAATCCATGATCTTATGAAAAATCTAAATATGACTGTAGTCAAGGGTGTTCTTTAGATGGAGAACTGCCAGGTTGGATTCTACTAACCAGAGAAGAAAAGCAGCTTGATTTTTATCTAGAAAACAAACAAACATTCAGCTCAAAGAAGATTACCCTGAGACCTCACCTTATGCTACTAGACCAGTGGTGGCGAACTTATGGCACGGGTGCCAGAGGCGGCACTCTGAGCCCTCTCTATGGGCACGCATGACGTCGCCCCAGCCCCGCCACCCCCGTGGCCCCCTCCACACCAGCAGCCCCCCCGGAGGAGACTCGCCCTGGGCACAGCCTGCGCAAAGCAGCACAGCCAAGGACATGGCAGCCGGGCAGCGGGGACAAGACTCCACTCTCCTGCCCCATCGCGTACAGATAATGCTGCAGGGCACAGACAGAGAGCGTGGCCACCATGACGCTACTGGGCCACCTGGGCGATCTGCTGTGGTGGGCCGTGGAGGTGGTGGGTGGCCCTGCGGGCAGGAGAGGTGGGGTCGGGACAGGGACGAGGCGGTTTTGGGGCACTCGGTCTCTAAATGGTTCGCCATCACTGTAATAGACTAAGGGCTACTGTGTCACCACATCTTTTGTACTCCGAGAACATTATACCAAGGAAAGACCAAAGTGGTTCCACACTTCAGCCATAAAGGGAGCATCTTCAAAGAATTTGCTTTAGGTTTTCCTGTGGGAAAGAATACTTCTAAGAACCTTTTCTCTCTTCTTGACCAATTCATTTTCAATTTGTGCCATGCTGTTTTAATTCACAAGCCTGAGGGCAAGGACTGTCTTGTTAATTTTTATAATTTTGTCCCAGAGCCTTTTCAGTTAAATGCAAAATGAAATGCTTCAGTTTAATTCAATGTAAAGATACTAACGTCTAAAAGGAGCCTGTCTCAGCAGGTGCCATTACCAGACTGACCTTCTCTGGGCTTGGAAAATAAGCAGAGTTTGAGTTAACTGGAACCAGAATGGAAGAATTCCAGCAATTATCAGGGCTGTAGACTAGATTGGGAAGTTCTAAAAAATATTCCAGAAGAAATAATGGCAAATTACTTCTATATTGTAACAACAAAAAACAAATATTAATGGTTTTCTTGTTCATGGTCATGTTCCTGGTCATGAGAAACTGAGAATGAACTGAATGAGACTTTACTTATAAAAGAAGCCTGAGATTTGGTAGGAGAATATTTTTTGAAAAGGAGGGAGTATTATTAGATACACAATAAGTACCGGTAACAATTCAATTTAGCAACAAAAACGATACAAATGAAAAGCTTAATGAGGATCAGAAAACAAAAAATGACCAGAACAGGAAAGACAGGATAGTAGAGAGATAAGATAGGATAGGATAGGATAGGATAGGACAGGAAAGCTAGGATTTAGAACAAGTTGAGTATAGCAACTAAAATACCTTTTTCAGGTATGTTTGAAGCAAGAATGTATGAAATAATGATGGCATTTTAATACACAACAGGATGAAGGAAGAATGGGTGCCCCTGTCATCTCCGAAGTTAAATGCATGCAGACTCATGAATGTAACATCGGTGTGGGTGACTGAGAATTGAAACCTGAGAAGCTGATCAGGAAATATCTAACTCCTGTAAAGGAACTGAAAACTTCAGCGTCAATTTATTTTCATTCTAAAGAATTAGCAAACTTGTTAATACGGCCTCAGAACTAATTTCTCAGAAATTCTGGAGAACTAGGATGCTATAGAAAGGCACATCATGTTCTAACCTTCAGACAGAGGAATCCTTGAAACTACAGGTTGACAAAAGGTGTTGGAGGTTATTCATTTCTGCAGTGAGCATTTTTGCAACTGCGCACTGTATCTGGCTTCAAAGATCTAGCCTTTTTCTTCAGCTACACTAGGATGGGAACTCCCCTGTGCGTCTCCCCTTCTCTTTGTTTGTAAGGTCCTGAATCCAATCTTGTTGACATTAATTTATTTGGCAATCTTTGCAAACAGAACATACCGTAGTCCCGAGCTATTCACAACCCTTGGTTAATGTAACCAGAGCTGAAAGCCAAAGGCATGTTGTCATAATTAAACAAAAATTTAATTTAAGTTGCTGCAAAGTTTGAAAGACAAAATATTGTTTTTGGAAAAGCTATCTGTTTTGTGCACAGGATATCTATGGCTGATTGAGGTGGACTGAATCGTAGTGCTAAAGATAAAAAAGGTTAGATTTATTAGGTATTACGAAACATTATTTTTAACAAACCTGGACTTCACAAAATAGACAACCAGAATGGAACCAGAATGCTGGCACTAAAATTAAACTGTGCCATTTCATGTGAACTCAGAAAAGCATGACTGAAATTGGTGAGCATCTGGTTCAAAGAAGAATCATCTCTGTCTAACGAAGATAAAAGATACTGTGGCATATTCAAAAGGAGAAAGAGTAGAAAATTAGTATAAAATACGAACTATCCAAAAAAGCCACCCAGAGTCAGTCTGGAGCAGGGCAGTAATGAAACAGAATAAAAATAAACAAACAGGGAAAAATGCACACACAGGGAAAAAGATACTATATACAGCTCCAGAGGCTGGAGCCAAAATGAATGAGCTGGTTTTAAAGGAGAAAATAGAATCAAGAGAAACAAAGAAAATCTGTTGGCGTGGAAAGTCAGTAACATACAGTCATATCTGCATAGAAATAAGAAAAGCATAGAGTTCTCCAAAGAACCGGATGATTTTATCTCAAAAAATCTTACTTTGCAGAACATGCTATAATCTCCTTGGCCAAAATGCTCAGAATGAGCTTGAGGTGGCCTATGAAATGAGAGAGGCACTGTGGAAACAGCCACTGCGTTGTTGCATTTCAAGTGCTGGACAAGGACTGGGAAAACCCTAGGTTCATGTTCCCATTTTACTGAGTGATTTTGAGTCCATCTTTCTCTTTCAGCAAACTCTACCTTACAGGGTTATTGTTCTGAGGATAAAAATAGGCAAAACCTCTATATATACACCATCCTGAGTTCTAAGAGAAAAAGTAATGTGTACGTGTCCTTTATATATAAGGTATAAATGCAACAATTAAAAAAAATGCAGAATCAGAAAAGTTCTTGGCTTGTTCCCAACAGCTCTTATAATCTTAGACAATTTATTGTTCTGTCTTGACTAAAAAGGAGGGCAAGTTTGATGCCAAGTGAATTTTACCCGGCTGCCCTGCCAAAGACAGGTGGAAACATGTTGGTTAATGAGCAAAACATGAATGCATAGAATGGACTTGGCTCTTGGGATCCCAACTGTTAAGTTAAAGTTTATTCTATAAAAATATGTGCTCTGCCAGCATAGCTAAAACTTTATTTGTTGCACTAGTTCCTTATTCTGAAAAGGCAACTTACACTTTCTGAAATGGCTTGCATCTTAAAATATAACAGCTGCTGAAGCAAGAATACCCGAAGAAAACATGCAAGGTCACTAGAAGGCACCTGTAACTTATTTCCAGCTGTTCGGTGAGCGGGGTTGGCCAGAATGAACAAATCAACATCCTTTATGGTTTGCAAAACAACAAACAATAAAGCATTTCCAAAGCTAGCAAATGAAATCACACCTTTAATTGAAGGATCAAATTCCTAAACAGATTGATACAGTCAGATCATTTCAATCCTGACTAAATAATTTCACCTCATATCAACATAGATGCAGCATCACAAATTATAAGCTTGATGAATTAATTATTGACCCAAGTGGAATAGTAATTTTGTTTTGAACTAACATTAAAATGAATTCTGAAAACTTATCTGAAAGCTATCATATTATATAAGAACAAACATTAAAATGATATATTTACCATCTCTAGTTTATCTGCTTTGAGGCGAACTGAGGGATTGAGGGAAATCTTCCTTTGCGGTCCATAATCAATTCTCCAGGAGGGGCTAACAGCTATGAGACAACAGGTTGCATATTAATTGGAAATCTAATTGGATTTTTTTTTTTCTGCTGAAGGATATGTTCTAAACTCCTGCTGTTCAAACAACCCAGCTAATCACTTGAATGCCAAATGTTGATTATTTTTCCCCTTTAAATATTAAGCAAGGTGCTATTCAAATGGAAACTTACAGATGCTGTTAAGCCCCTTTATATTTACCCACCAAGAAATGAAGAGGGATGGGAAACACAATCAGACATACCTGGGGCTTAATTGACAAAGACACAGTAGAATAAAAAGGTATTCTTTAAACAGTAAAGGTCATATTATGATAGAAACACATGGCTTGTACCTGTGATACATTTTTTTAACAAGACACAGGAGACAGATCGGTTGTGAATATACTTATGAAAACCATCCTTATGGCAATTATTTTGTTGTGGAAAAAAACTCTCTTGGCAAATCACTTCCCCCCCCCCCCAAAAAAAAATCACAATAACCTCATGATGCAAGGCTTCTCAAACTGATAGTCTCAAAATACTATATATTGGATTATAATTTCCACCCCGCATCAGCACTGACATGACATAAGGAGGGCCTCTAATATGTATTAAATTAAGTAATTTGTACCCTTGTTCTTTCTTTCAGTAAACAAGAGCCAGAGATCTGCTTCAAGCTTTCCAAAAATTGAGATATGATCCAAGGAGACTCAATGTTCCTCTTTTGAATTAGCTGTATCACAAACTATCCTTAAACTTTTCCTTGTTTTAAAATAGGTGTTCACACAAGTAGGAGAGGAGGGAGCTATTGTTCAAAAAAACAGTTCTCAGAAATAACTTGGGTATTTATATATACTGTCATTTCAACTTCTAAAATGGATAATTTTTTACTGGGACATTGGTGAAGATAGATAGATAGATAGATAGATAGATAGATAGATAGAGAGAGAGAGAGAGAGAGAGAGAGAGAGAGAGACAGACAGACAGACAGACAGACAGACAGATCAGTACTGTATTGGTTGGAAACACACGAAAGAGGCCTTCAATCTGCCTTATATTTACATCTAATTTTTTTTTTCATCATGGAACTTAAAGCAGTATAAATGGTTTCTTAGAAGGATTCTCATCCATACTCTGAACCATACTGCTTCGCCTAAATCAGGGGTCTTCAAACTTGGCTCTTTTATGACTTGTGGACTTCAACTCCCAGAATTCCTCAGCCAGTATGCCTGGCTGAGGAATTCTGGGAGTTGAAGTCCACAAGTCATAAAAGGGCCAAGTTTGAAGACCCCTGGCCTAAATCTTTGCAGCTTCCTTGGTGTAACTAAGTTTGTATTGTATCCTGAAATTTACAACCAGAATCTCTCAGTTTAAGTGCCACACAATAGCTATACTATACAAGCAAATGTTACAAACAAGGACCATCAACCTTTATTCAGTTGTCACACTGGAAAAAAGATGCCTCAACAATTGATTCCAGTTTTTCATTTACATTGTCAAAGAAAAGGCCCACATACTGTTTTTTTTAAAGAAAAGGAAACAAATTACATATTACTCATGTGAAAAGTAGTAACAACAAAGAGAAGGTGAACAAACGAGTAAGCATTTACCCCCAGCTGATACATCAATGGAACTGTTGTCTGTAAAAAAAGCAGAAAATTGTTCTCCTTTCTTGAATCCAGTTTTCATCTGTGAAAGAAAAACATAAAAATTAAGAAGTACTATTTACCAAAGTAGGTTGCGTCCCAGACTAAATACTGATGTCAAGTTTTTATTAACCAAATTATTAGTCTATTATGGAGAAAAATGTGTTTACATTTTGCCGAACACCCAACAAGTTTACTTATTAAGGTGTGCCAAATAATACTTTTAGCATAGTAAATCTTAGTCCATAAAGATTAGCAGAACCTTTTGGTAGTATTGATTTTCCCCTCTCAAGTAGGATTAGAAGAAATGGGTATTTCTGCAAATGCTTTTTATCTAACTTTATGATATGGCCCCAAAGGAGCAGAGTTAAGTGTAGAGCAAACTACAAACAACTATATCAGAAGCCTGTGCCAATCAGTAATAATCAAGTCAATCAAATCAAGAACCACAAAAAAGAGAGGAGTGTTCCATTAGACATAGGAGCAAGCATAAGTACCTCAGGATTTATAACATGGTAGTTTTCACTGAGGGACCTTAGTTAAAGAACCCATCAACCTGTCAGATTCTGTTGAAAAACATTTTCAATCAATTTACTGTACGATACTGACTGTTCTATTGCTTTTCGAATCTGAGCTAGTTTGTATAATTTTTACCTTGGTTGTTTCACCCAGAGAATGCGCAAGCGATATTTTTGAGTACCAGTAATCCAAAACAGCACTGAGTATACTTCATTGCCCCCCCCCGTAATATATATTGATATAGAACTCAACATTAAGTAAGCTACAACTTGCCAGATGAACTCATTTCAAAGTAAACCTGTAGCATCCAGAATTTCATTGTTTCATGAAATTTCTTAACAAGCTAGAAATTATTAATGTCATTAAAAATAAACACTGTGTTCTACATTATTTATACAAATTTTATTAAAACTGCATGCTGGTGTTTCAGAAACACTGAAGCCAGAATTTCTCAAATACAGCTTTAAAAAATTTGTAGAATATCCTTTCTGCTTTCTCCCTACTTCTGTTCTTTCCTCTGGTGCTGGAGTTTATGCATATGATTGTATATTTATTTAATCAACAAAGATGATTAGGGGACATATAAAGAAAGGTTGCTGGAATTGGCTATGTCTAGTTTAACGAAGAGAAGGACGAGGGGGGACATGATAGCAGCGTTCCAATATCTCAGGGGCTGCCACAAAGAAGAGGGTGTCAAGCTATTTTCCAAAGCGCCTGAAGGCAGAACAAGAAGCAATGGATGGAAACTGATCAAGGAGAAAAGCAACCTAGAACTAAGGAGAAACTTCCAGACAGTTAGAACAATTAACCAATGGAACAACCTGCCTCCAGAAGCTGTGAATGCTCCAACACTAGAGGTTTTTAAGAAGAGGTTGGACAGACATTTGTGTCAAACTGCCGGGTGTCAAACTGCCGGCCCGTGAGGAAGCCGCGTCCACCCCATTGCCGGCAATGGCAAAATAGTCCTGATATGTCGCATGACATCATGTGATGTCGTGAGTTTGACATGTCTAGTATAGGGTTTCTTGCCTGAGCAGGGGGTTGGACTAGATGACCTCCAAGGTCCCTTCCAATTTTTATTTTTATTATTATTATTATTATTATTATTATTATTATTATTATTATTATTATTATTATTATTGATCATCGCACAGTCAGCCAGATGTTCAGACTGGATTTGGCATTTTGTCTACCTATCGAGTCCTTACCAAGGACCTGGGATAGGCAGATGTGGATGTTTGATAGTATTACAGATATCGTCGCAGTATGAAAGCAGTTCCTAGTAAGGCCGTCTTTTGCAATTGACTAATGGCGAATTTGTCAATGCCGATGATGGTGTTCAAGTGGTGCTCCAGTTGTTTTGGGATTGCACCCAAGGCGCCTATTACTATTGGTACTACCCTTGCTTGCTTTTGCCACAGTCTTTCTATTTCTATTTGTAGGTCTTTGTATTTTGTTATCG